TGAAGAGTTGGCACATTTACTTAACACATCTTAATGCTTTTTTATGCCCGCTTTCCTTCTCTTTCCTCTATCTCTTAGTCCCCTTCCCATTTGTAAAAGATCTACCTCCGTTTCCCATTATCTTTTTTTTTTTTATTTTGCTCTTTATTTTTCTTTTCTTTTTCTTTTTTTTTTTTTGGTACCAGGAATTGGACTCGGGTCCCTGCGCTTGCAAAGCAGGCCACCGAACTGCTGAGCGAAATCCCCAGCCCTATTTTGCTCTTTATTTATACTTTGGGTTTCTCATATCAAATATCACAATTTTTTTTTTTTTTTGTACTGGAGATCGAACTTGGAACCTTGTGCCTGCAGGGCAGGCGGCAGAACCACTGAGCTAAATGCCCAGCCCTATCACGCAATATTTAAGGTAGTGTGTTTGATCTATTTCACAACATTATTGTCTCAAGGTACATGTTTTTCTACAAATGACTCATCTATTCTTCTTTACAGAAGAGTAGTACTCCATTGTATACGAATACATTTTCTTTGTCCATTAGTCTGTTGATGGACATATAGGCCACTTCCATAATAATAAGTAGCTAAATAGCTATTATGAATTGTGCTTCTGTAAACGTGGGTATGCATGTAATATGATCTCTTAACTCTTCTGGTAAGACATCTAGAAGGAAAATACTGGATCAAATGAAATTTATAGTTTTGAGTTTTTTCAAGAATCCGCATTCTGGGGCTGGGGATGTAGCTCAGTGGTACAGTGCCTCAGTGCCTGCCTGGCAAGGTACAGGTCCTGAGTTTAATCCATGGTTTTAAAAAAAAAAAATCTCCATGCTGATTTCCATAGTGGCTGTACTAGTTTACATTCCCACCAACAATGCAGAAGGGTTCCTCCTCTCAACCCTGCAGCCTCATCAGTATTGGTTATTATTTGATGTCTGGGATAAGATGAGAAATCAGTGCTGTTTTAATTTGTACTTCCCTGATGTCTGAAATCATGAACATTTTTTCACGTATTTCATGTCACTTGTGCTTCTTCTGATAAGTATCTACTTCAGTTCCCCTTTATTATTTTAGAGGGAGTCTAATTTTTTTGAGTTCTTTCTATATTCTAGATATTAGTCCCACCCAAGGAGTACCTCACAAAAATGTTTCCAATTCTGTAGGCTGTCTCCTCGTTCTGTTGGTTGTTTCCTTTGCTGTGCTTTTTCATTTGATATAATCTCATCTGTTGATTCCTGTTGCTTCCTGTGCAACTGGAGTTCTGTTAAGAAATTTCTTGCCTGTGCCTCTCTTTAAGAGTTTTGCCTATTTTCTCTTCCAGCAGATTGTTTCCATTTAAATATTTAGATTTTGATCCATTTTGATTTTAGTTTAAAACATGATGAGATATGGGTCTAGATACAATCTTCTGAACAAGGATAAACAGTTTTCCTAGAATCATTTGTTAGAGAAATTATCTTTCCTCCATCAGTTTTCAGCCTCTTTGTAAATCAGACAACTGAATGTGCTTGGGGTTTTTCTGCATCCTCTTCTGTTCCACTGATCCACTTGTCTGTTTTGTGCTAACATATACGGTTTATATTACTATATCTTTATAATCAACTTGAAATCCAGATGAAATCTGATGTTTTCTGCTTTGCTTTTTGAGTTTTAAAGACCCTGAATTTAAAACTTGATTTTAGGTTGGGTTTATAACACAGTGGTAGAACACTTACCTAGCATATGTGAATCCCCAGGTTTGATTCCAAAAAGACAAGTCTGATGTTCATGGATAACTGCTTCTAAATAACATTTCAAAGAAGTACACAGCCAGCCACAGTAATGCATGTCTATGATCACAGCTACTTGGGAGGCTGAGACAGGAGGATCTCAAGTTTAAGAACAGCTGGGGCTATATAATGAGTTTGAGAGTTAGAGGCCAACTGGAATACACAGTAAGGCCCTGTCACAAAACAAACGAACACACAAACAAAGGCCTTGGAAGTGTAGCTCAGTTTTGCAGCATGGGTTTAGAGTGCAAGAGGCCTTGGATTCAATCCCTAGCACCAAAAGGAAAAAAAAACGTGCAAGATTACCTTTTTTAATTTTTGGTACTGGGGTTCGAACTCAGGTCCTTGCACTTGTAAGGCAGGCTAAATCCCCAGCCTAAGATTATCTTTTTAAAAGCATTAGTACACTAAAATTCCCCCTCTCCCAATCCCTCCCAGATGACCAGTACCTACCGAAAGCCTACGTTTGTTCTGGTGTGCTTGTTTTAAACTTTAGTTTCAGGGGCTGGGGATTTTAGCTCATTGGTGCTGTCTAAGCTTTGCAAGCACCAGGTCCAGAGTTTGATCCCTGGTACCTAAACAGTATCGATATACTTTTGAGGACTGAGTTAATGAAAAAAATATTTATTTGCTCGAGAAAAACTCTGGGCTTCTTACATGGTAGGCAAGCTCTCTATCACTGAGCTACATTTCCAGCCCCATGAAATTATTTTCTTTCTTTTTTTTTTTTTTGGTTACCAGGGATCAAACTCAGGTCCTTGTGCTTGCGAGGCAAGCGGTAGAACCACTGATCTAAATCCCTGGCCCCCCCATGAAATTTTTTTCTTTCTTTTTTTTTTTTTTGGTTACCAGGGATCAAACTCAGGTCCTTGTGCTTGCGAGGCAAGCGGTAGAACCACTGATCTAAATCCCTGGCCCTCCCATGAAATTATTTTTAAATAATCTTTTTTAGTGTCTTGGGATTGAATATGTTACCACAGTAATTCAATTTCAGACTTAAAATCAACATCCAGTATCACATTATTGCACAGATCACAATCTGGAGCCTCTGGAACCCAGAGATTATGTGCAGACAATCAGCATCAAATCTACCAACTGAGCTTGTAAAAGCCTTTTAAAGACTTTCTTAATGGTACACCATATGGAAAAACACATGTTATGGTCTGAACTTATATGTGGAGATCTAATCAATGCAATAATAGTAGTAAGAGACAGCACTAAGGAGGTGATTAGGTCATGAAGGCTCTGCCTACATGAATGCCATCAGTGTCCTTATAAAAGAGTCTCAAGTCCTGTTTGTCATTTCTGCCATACGAGAACACAGAAAGTGTCATTTATAATGAACAAGTCCTCTCCAGACAATAAATTTTCTGGCAATTTGGACTTTGCAGCCTCCAGAATTGTGAGCAATAAATTTCTACTGTCTATAAATATCAAGTTTAAGGCACCATGTAACAACAGCTCCAACAGTTAAAAACAATATACACACAATGCCATTGGCACGTATATACGTGTGTGCACAAGCATCTCACATGTAGTCAGTGAAAGGCTGAGGGGTGTACACCAAACTTAACATTAAGTTATCCCAGAAATTAGTTAGTTTGGTAATAAGTTGGAGGTAGAGGTGAAGGGAGGGGAAGAACTTCTACTCGTAAGGTCCCAATACTTTATTCTATTTTAATCACTTTCAATAATATTATAATCTATAGCATTTATAAATGTTAAAATTAAATCATATTCATTTTATAATCCTTTAAGTCATGCCATTCTAACTTCTAATTTTCTTGAAATAGATTCATTTTTTTGCTCATGAACTGGATTAAAACTAGGGTCATGCACATGTTTAACTTCATGTGCTTGTTTTATTAATAAAAAGTTTATTACCACTTTCTGATGTTTGACTGCTCACACTTTGAAACCTCATGCCTCCCTTTGCCCTTTCTATCCTGAACTGGGACAAGGTGCTAAGAAAGCAGGTACTGAATCTCAACCACACAGGGAATCCTTCCCTAGTCCCACCCCACTAATTATTATAAAAGCCCCAAACCACTCTCCTGTGATCTTTCCAATCTTTTCACACCAGCTAGGGAAGCTTAAGCTGCATTCTCCAGAAAGACAGTCTTACCACAAGGGCCAGGCCAAGCTTAAACTCCTATGTAGCCCAGGTTGGCCCTGAATTCATGATCCTCCTGACTTAGCTTCCCAAGTGCTAGTAATTTTATTAAGCAAATTCATTCTGACTTTAGAGAAAATATTTTTACTAGGCTGGAACAAAATTATGTCTTTCTCATATGCAAAAATGACAAAATGAAACTGTTAGTAAACCAAGTGTGTAGTGCACACTTATAATCCTAGCTACTCAGGAGGCTGACACAGGATAGCAACTTTGAGCCCAGCCTGGGCAATTCAGCAACTTAACTCTGTCTCAAAATTCAGAAAAACATTTTTTAAAAAGGAAGGCTAGGGAAGTAGCTCAGTGTGAAGGCTCTGTCCCCGCCCCCCAGAGGGTGGGTAGTGATAAACTAGAAATGTATTCTATGGAAGCAACTAAGAATATACTCAAAAATTAAGACTATACTTACCAACTCCACACAAGGAATGTAAACATCTGTGCTGCAAACATGTACTAATAAAAATATATTATAAAGCTCTTCACAGACGTACTATTTACAATGTTTAAAAGTAAAAGCAATCCAACTGTTCAAAAACATAATCATCTTGGGCAATTTTTTAAAATACAGAGGGCTGGGGATGTAGCTCAGTGGTGCTGGGCCTACTTGGCAAGCACAAGGTCCTGAGTTCGATTTCTGGTACTGGGAAAAAATACAAAGCCTCATTCTACCCGAGATAAATTTAGTTAGGAACCCTATGAGGAGATGCCTAAACACTGGCATTTTTTAGAACGTTCTGCTAGGCTTTTTCTTTTCTTTTCTTTCCTCTTCAGTACTGGAAATTGAACCCAGACCCTTTGCACTGAGCTATATACCCAGACCTTTTTATATTTTTATTTTGAGATAGGTGGCTACTACCCTCAGCCTGCTAAGCTTTTTGATGGTCACAGTGAATTATTGTATGTTTTATCTCTTTATACGCCATCACTATGTTTGGGGGCCCAAATTTATACCTCCATCCTGGACTCCCATTCCTCCCAACACTATTTATAGAAACCCAACTGCTTAATTGATATTTCTTTTTTTTAATCGAACTCGGGTCCTTGCGCTTGCAAGGCAGGCAGCGGAACCACTGAGCTAAATCCCCGGCCCTAATTGATATTTCTTGAGAAATACAGTTTTTTTAGTGTGAAACCACATCACACCTGTCAGAAGGACTTACCAAAATGATAAAAGTTAACGGGTTGGTGAAGCTGTGGAGAAAAGGAAAATTTTATACACTGTTAAGAATATATAGCTATTATGGACAACAATGTGGCAGGTCTTCAAAAAACTAAAAATAGAATTACCATATAATTTAGCCATCTCATTTCTGGATATATACCACAAACAATGGAAATCAGTATTTCAAAAAAATGACTGCACTCCCAAATTCACTGCAGCATTACTCACAATAGCCAAATAATGAAATCAATCTAAACATCTAGCAATGGAGGGATAGCTGTAGGCAATACGGGATATGTGGATTATCATTAAAAAGAAGGAAGTCCTGCTGAAGTGGTGGTGCACACCTGTAATCCCAGCACTCGGGAGGCTGAGGTAGGAGGATCCCTGTGTAGGCCAGCCTGCACCACAAAGTGAGACCCTGTCTCAAAGAAAAAAAAAAAAAAAAAAAAAAAAAAAAAAAAAAAAAAAAAAAAAAAAAAGGATGGGGGTGGGGATTTAGCTCAGTGGTTCTGCCACCTGCCTCAGAAGTACCAAGGTCCTGAGTTCAATCCCCTGTACCAAAAATAAATAAATAAAAATGCAATGTATGATTCTCTTATAATCAAAACCTGTAAATAGCTTCCCATTTCAATCAGACAAAAGGTCAATTTATAATGGACCTGACTAGTCCCCCACAATCTCTCTGACATTAATTATGTCTACAATCTCCCTAACTTGTTTCTCAGCCCTATTGGTTTTCCTTTAACAAGCCAGGCATGTTCTGCCTCAGGCCTTTTTCAGATCCATTGTCTGGGAAAGTCTTTTCTCAAATATCTTCCGGCCTAACTGCCTGATTTCCTTTAGATTGGTTTAAATGTCACTTTATCAGTGAGGCCTATCACCATCTTTTTGTCTAGAGCGTACTTTACCATCTGATGTACTGTATATTTACTTGCTGTCTGCCTTGCTCATTAGGATATAAATTCTATGACAGTGAGAATTCTGTTTTGTTTATGGCTATATCTATAAAACTGAACAGTGCTCAGAATGGGTCCACAATACATACTTGTTGAATGAATTAATATATAGACATATATTCGCCGCTATTTTTCCCCACACAAGTGGTCCGACAGCTAAATTTATCCAGTCAGTTTCTCTGCCTACTATACTGTTACAGTGGAATGGGCCAAAATAGTCCAGGTTCTCATGTATGACAAGAAAAAAAATTGCTAAGTGTACACCCAGTAGTAGGTAACAAGCAGCTACATTTATTGATGATCACAGGAACTGGGCACGGTGGCACACGCCCTAATTCCCAGCACTTGGGAGGCTGAGGCAGGAGGATCGCTATGAGTCCGAGACCAGCCTGGGCTACACAGTGAGTTCCAGGTCAGTCTCAACTACATAGTGAGACCCTGTCTCAAAAAAACAAAAACAAAAAAAGAAAAAAGAAATCACAGAAGTACCTGTGCCACCATAAGATAAATTACAGACAGAAAAAGGTGCTGGGTGACAAAAGCATTGCACACAGATCAAAGCACACAACTGTAGCAACAACAAAGAAGGAGTGGACAAATCAGGCTTTCAGAATTGAAAGCCCACGTCTGGGCATGGTGGTCTACACCTGTAATCTTAGCACTTCGGGAGGCTGAAGCAGGAAGGAGTGCTGTGAGTTCAAGGTTAGTTTGGGTTACATAGCAAGTTCAAGGCCAGCCTGCACTACAAAGTGAGATTCTGTCTCAAAAAAAAGAATTCTTGGCCCAGACTGTAAAGGTCAGGCATATCTGCTTTAGGTATCTCCCACTAAATCTTTAGGTGTGACTGATAGGAATGACTGACAGGGTGCTGACACATCTTAGGGGTTCTCAACATGCATGCTTATCCCAGAATTCACTGTAATCTTAATATTTATGAGTAGTACATATTTATAAGACTGTAATAAGATAGGAGTAGGGAAAAGGTGACAAGAAGGTCAGGAAGACTGAACAAGCCTATGATTTTGCTTATAGCATCAGAGATCTCCTAAGCTTTTGTTATTTTATTCTCTACCTCTTTTAGAACATGGAAGTAGGTACAACCATAGGGTACTGTTTAGAATTAAATGGAGGGAAGGGAATGACTCCCTCAGTTGTACTGTTTCTAACTGATACAGGATAATAAGAAAATCAAAACTGCACTGATAGAAGAAAATCAAAACTTTTCTATCTGCTAATATGGAAGGATTTCAACAGGCTAACGTTACACTAGGATACCATGTACACTTGCTGCCCCAAAATAACCTACTTTAGGTACTGCAAGGAATTGAGAGACTACCTAATGAACCAAATTCCACAACTTTTCTTCCAGAGTACAAGTAATCATCAATTCTTTGATTCTGACACCCTAATAACAAGAACCATTAGCACCTTCCTTCTTATCCCTGAAAACTATTTTTACTTGTATCACCTGTTCTATACATTCACAACTAGTGAAAGGCAGGAAGCAAAACTACTATATACAAGGCTATTAGTAATGGATTATACTTCTGTACTCAATTATTTGGGAACCAAAGTACAACACTATCATTCACACACTAGAACTATAAAGTATTATCCCATACTAGGACAGCCTTCCTCACACAGTTTCACAAACATACTGAATCAAACAAAAGAACTGAACAATATAAGCCTGGCTAAAATCTTAAATTGGTCCAGCTTCAAACTTTAAAATCACTTGCCTGTGAGAGAAGACCTCAGATGCACTGTGACTCAGCACTGAGACAAGAAATGTGATAAAGGTTTCATTCATGACATGAGATAAATGCAGCTAAAATAAGTGAAGCAATTAAAAAATCTAAAGCCAGTGGAGGAAATGGTACAGTGCTCATACTAAGGAAGGTGTAACTCAAGTCCCTGGGGACAGGGAGGAAAATAACTTGTTGACATAAAATTAGCAAGTAACACGCTGACTACAATTAACACAATTAAATGTATAAAATACTGCAAATATATAAAACACAGTTTAAAAATAAAAACTGTGCCTATTGGTTACATCAAGTAAAAAAACAAACAAACAAACAAACAAACTTAAATCTAAGGAGAGAAATTTACCGAGGTACTGTTCACTAAACTATCAGAAAGTAAAATTAAATCATGAGAATATTTTTCGGCTTGCCAAAAAAAAAAAGACTGAAAGTGAAAGAGAGGAAAGTCCAGCATTGTCCACGAGCAGGAAAAATAAGATAAAACTAGGATAAACTATGATGGCTGAAGGTTGCAGTAAAGACAGTTTTCAATTCATATTCTCATATGGAGCAGAAACTAATGGAGAAATATGTTAAAATGTCAAAGTGGCAGGCAGGGAGATCTATGGAGATGTAATCTTGAAAAGGGACTGAGGGGTATTCCACACAGATAATGGAGGAAGTTGGGGAAACCCAGTAGGGAATTTAAATGAATAAAGACAAAAGAAATATAGAGAGATTGGCTGGGGATTTAGCTCAGTGGTTCTGCTGCCTGCCTCTCAAGTGCAAGGTCCTGAGTTCGATCTCCATTACAAAAAAAAAAAAAAGAAATGTAGAGACAGCCTATGACAGGCACACAGCCAAAAGCAATAGCTAATACTTCATTGCTTTTAACTCCACTCTCTGTACTCTAAATGTATTCTTTGATAGTGATATAGACACTATTATTAATCCTAATTTCACACTAAGGAAATAGCCTCTGAAAATATAATTTGTTAAATTTCACAGTTAATGGCATAGTCAGGCTACCAACATACACGATTTAACTTCACAGCTTTATACTGCCTCTTATAAACATCTCAGAGCATAAAAAGAGAAATGGTTCATAGTAGCATAAGCAAATCTCCCATAAGCAATGCTATTTTCTTTATGATGAACCCACGTGCTAGGGAAGCACTCTACCACTGAACCCCCAGTACCCCTCCCCTCACCCATCATTTTTTTGGAGAGTGTCTCATTATGTAATCCAAACTGGCCTGGAACTCATGATCTTCGTGCCTCAGCCTCCCAAATGAGAAGATTACAAGCATGTGAACCACACCAGGCCCCAGCCCATTTTTAAAATTTCATTTTGAGACTGGGTCTTGCTAAGCTGTCCAGGCTGGTTTTAGATTTGTGGTAACCCTGTCTCAGCCTCCCAAGTAGTTGGGATAACAGGCCGGTACCACCATACCTAGCAGAAATCTTACACTCTATAGTTCAAGGGTGAGAGTGTAGCTCAGTGGGAGAACACTTACCTAGTATGCCTGAGGCCTTGGGTTGGATTCCCAGCACTAGGATAGGGCTGGGGAGTCCAGACATCATACCTGTCACAAAAAAACACAAACTAAGGGTAGTGAGATAAATGAGACAGCTGTGTTCACCAGACTGTAGAATCAAGGAAAGCTTCAAAGGAAATAGCATTTGTGATGGGATTTGAGCATAATGGGGAATTTGGCGTAAAGAACACCATTACATATTATTAGATTCTTGAGGGGTTTTGTTTTGGTTGATAGGATCTCACCATGTAGCCCAGGCTGGCCTCAAAACTCTCCATCCTCCTGCCATCTTCAGATTGTTGGGGTTACAAGTGTGTGTCCCATCTCACCTGGTACTCTTGAGAGTTTTCAAGCTGAATTTGAAAGTTTTAGCGCTGAATTCAGTGGCATGGCACTGAACGCCCTCCACAACTAGGTGAGGGTAAGGCCAATAAAGATTATCTTCAATGGCAGACTGAAGTCTTTGCTACCAGTTCAGGCTCCAAATGAACAAAAAGCATTACTTTACTGTCTCCATACACAGCAAATGGTTTGAAAGCAGGCTGTTCACCCTGGCCCTGGCAGATGCAACATATCCTGAGCTAAATTAAAACAATGTACATCAACAGGCATTAAACCACCAAGTGCACCCAGTCAGACTGCCTTGGGACATCTAGACCTCTGGTGGTGGCTAATTTTAAAGTAACCCAAGATCAAGGTGGGACTGCGCCAAACCTCAGTTTGGCTCTGGATGCCACAGTCAGTGGTAATATTATAGAGAGCTAAGTTAGGTAGAAATAAAACACATCAAAACCATGGCCAGACATTGAGACCAGACCTCAAGATAAAGACAAAATAACCAGGCCTGCATACTCCTCAAAAGACAAACACTGGGCCTAATGAAGTCTAGAGAGATACCAGTCATTCAAGTGGGTGACGAAAACCTTCAGACCCATTTCTTAGAAAAAGCCTTTGTTCTTTCCGTGCACCCTTGTTATGTGACTCGTTTCTTCATTGGATTATTATCTAAGCGACTATACTTGTAACCTTATTGGTTAATCACAGTTGTAACCTACTATCCACTTAGGTTCTTTATAAAATTTCCCTGTAAAGTAGGGCCCCTTGCTAACCATTCAGGTCCCCTCCTGCTGCTCAAGAGCTCTCTCCTCAATAAGTTTTTCCTACTCTTAACCTCCATTTTCCTACAATTCATTCTTCAATTTTAGAGAACTGGCGTATCAGACATCTAACAGGTTGGGAGACATATTTTCATATTACATCTCCTGTTTCAGTAAAAAGTCAAGACTTGGAAAATTCAACTACGAATTCGGAAATAGTTATTAACAAGAGTCACTGTAATGGCATTAACTATTCATTAACAAATTGTGTCAGATACACAAATTTGGGGGTTTTTTGTTTTGTTTTGTTGTTTGGAGACAGGGTCTCACTATGTAGTTGAGACTGCTCTGGAACTCACTACATACCCCAGGCTGGTCTCAAACTCACCCTCCCGAGTGCTGGGATTACAGGCGTGCGCCACCAGGCCCGGCAAATGTAGGGATTTTATGAATGGTTTCCTTCACAACACTTGAGGTCTGGAGCACAGGCAGGAAGACTGGTGAAATAAATTGGTATAACATAATTATACTCGCGAACACACTTTCTGTGAACTTCTTGAGAATTTCCATAGATAACCACCCACGCGCCGTTTTTCACCGGAAACCCGAGGGACTCGGGCCTGTGGGTCCGCCCGCTGCCCAGGTCCTGAGCATGACACGCGGCTCTGCTTAACGCGCGGTGCGTCCACGGAGGCTCTGGGGCAAGCTGAGCTCCCGAAAACAGGCGCGAGCCAGTACTCATCTCTTTTATGGGACGTGCATCGCACCCCAAACCCCAGGACAGGTGAGCTCATCAGCCACTGCCACTACTTCGAGACCGACAGCCGGCAAGGAAGGAGGCACGCCTGCGCGGTGACGTCACGGTGCGCCGGCGCC